AGAGACACTTTGAACTACAATCAACCCAAATCTCTAATAGCGAAGATTTTTTTTTCTGAGTTATGATTTTTTATAGAAAATATACGTTTTTGTGGTACATACTACAATATTCTTATATTGTTTAACTAAATGGAACATATGTATGTAATATATCAGCAAAAAGTACAGCCGTGATCATTTTTTGTGTATCATATAGATATTAGAACACACTTTCCACCATACAGTTTCGAAATACAAAATCACATTTTCCCGCTTTTTATAATCGAAACTGTATGGTGGAAAGTGTGTTCTAATATCTATTTGATACACAAAAAATGATCACGGCTGTACTTTTGACAAAGTTATGGCCATTTAAAAAAAAATTCTCATTGTCAATTCGAATAATCGATTTTTGCCTGAAAAACAAAATCGCGTTTAATTCGGCCGAAAAATTTTTCCGAGCCAAAAGAAAAAATACGTGTCTCATTATTTGGACCAACAAACAATGTATTTGAGTTTGGTCGAAATTAAAAATCATGCTCGTACCTGACCGGTTGTTTGGAAATGGAAAGCATCTGTGGCAATTTGAAAAAAATCACTTAAAAAAAATTTTTTGTTTATAAACAATAATTAATTATTAATAAACAATTACTGATGTTTAGTTCTCTAGATCGATTCAGTAGATCAATATCTGCAATGTAAAAAAAGATCGTTAAAAGCCTTGCTTTTTGGCGGCAGTTATAAGCGATTTCATCAAAAGTTGCTATTAAGAGAGGAGAAAAGAAGCGTTCGTACTCAAAAACAAAAAAATTCATTATTCGAAAATTTCGCATTTCTGAGCAAAAAGAAAAAATACGTGTCTCCTTAAATTGTTCAAGGAACAATCCCTGTGAGTTTTATCGCAAACTTAAATTCACTTTCCCCCGGCCTGGGTGATTTGAGATGGAATGAGCCATAAGCAAAGCACAAAAGACATATTCTGCTTTTATGAGACACCATTGACCGATATCGTTCGTTATAAGTTCTTTTGCCGCTGTATTTTGTTCGAACATAACGCTCATTTACTACAAAACTTTCAACTCAAAAAACAAAATTTTTGAGACAATGATGCAGAATTACTCAATAAAACATGCTTTTTGTAAACATTTCATGCCGAAATCTTGTGTAGGTAGCTCTCGCTTGAGATGCGAATATGCGTCTGAGTGTCAATGCATCGTGAATTATAACTGAAAACTTGACATGCGTCTCCTACAAGTTGTTTGCATTAAATAAGGTTATACCTGTATCAGTATATAGTCCAAAATCAAATCGTCACTAGACACGAATAAAGGCGCGAGCTCAAAAGTTGACCGCGAGAAAAGAGGCATAAAAAACGTCAGTCTTTTTCGCGTCTTTTTTCGTCAATGCGTCCTTTTTCACCGTCAAAACAATGGCGCGCCTTTATTCGTGTCTAGTGACAAAATATTTTCTGATATGAAGGTTTTAAGTTTGGATAATTTACGATTAAATATTTACCGGACTCTTCCATATTCAAAATTCAATATCTTTGGTTCTAGTAATCGCATCGTACCCATTTTTGTTTTGTCTTAAATGTTTTAAAGGTTGTTCCCCTTTTCTAAAATATAGTTTTGTCTCGACCTGCTCGAAGAGATTATTTACTTTTATTGCCAAATTTGTTTATGTGAGTCCAAAAGTATATGGTATCGAATGGAGAGGTAATCCCTTATTTTTCAATGTATATGTACATGTAAACACGTACTTACTTTTAAGGAACATTTATCTACTTTTAGGTAAAATTTTTACACAAACTAGGTACAATTTGATGGAATATCAGCTGTAAAAGAGGACCAGAAACAATCAGTTGATTACTATTTGTTCAATAAACATACCTCAAAGTCAAAATTTAACATACCCAACAGGGTTGCAAAAAAAGATATTCAATTAGCACTCAATTAAGCACTAATCGAGCAATTAGGAATGGAAGTATTGTATGGTAAATCGAGCTTAATTATCGTATTAATCGAGAAAGCTTGGCTAATTGCTCGAATAACTGCCTGTCTGAACTTAGTATTAAACACACACTTCCTAACATTTCATGGGCTATGAAACTGTATACCCAAATGTTTTCTTTAAATTCATATTAGAAAGTTTGAAAAGTTTGCAAATTTGTTGAATTTTTCTATTTTATATAAAAATTAAAAAAAAGATAAATTGAAAAATATTGCTTCTAAATATTTATAGAAAATATCACCACGCTTGTTTGAGACTCTGTACATACATATGTACACAAAGTAATAGGTGTGAGATATTTTGACCACCTCTGAATATTTGTCTTTTGTTTATCTAATAGTTATTATTTTTTTGTTATAAAAGTAGTTTAGCTGGTTATACAACAAACACCATATAAATTCATATTTCAAACTTTGTGCAAAAATAATAAAACTTGTGCAAAGTTTTACCAAGATTTAAAACTTTTTAATCAGAATTTTTTTGTTATAAAAGTAGTTTTGCTGGTTATACAACAAACACCATATAAATTCATATTTCAAACTTTGTCCAAAAATAATAAAAATTGTGCAAAGTTTTACCAAGATTTAAAACTTTAATCAGAATTTTTTTGTTATAAAAGTAGTTTAGCTGGTTATGCAACAAACACCATATAAATTCATATTTCAAACTTTGTGCCAAAATAATACTAGTTGTGCAAAGTTTTACCAAGATTTAAAACTTTTTAATCAGAACTTTTTGGTTATAAAAGTAGTTTAGCTGGTTATGCAACAAACACCATATAAATTGATATTTCAAACTTTGTGCAAAAATAATAAAAATTCTGCCAAGTTTTACCAAGATTTAAAACTTTTTAATCAGATTTTTTTTTGTTGAAGGTGTTTCGCATTTTCTCCATATACAGTCCTATCACAGATTCCGAGTGAACTCTCCTCGTGAACAAATCTCACGTCACGAATTCGGGAAAAATGCTATCATCAATTCCGACGCCATTGGCTTTTGTTTGTTTTTATGTTTTGGTTTAATAATTCTAAATCAAAATAAAATAACTCGAAATCAGTGATACCATTCTCACGAATTTCGAATTTTCGGGAGACGATTACGACGGAATTCATGATAGGCCTGATAAAGTATGTGGCACAATTTTCTTTTATATGGAAAACACTGCCAGCAAACAAATTTTCATAAATGAACGGGATTTTTAGCAGCTGGAAACTTGCACTTTATTATACTTAAAAAGTATGAAATTTTGCGAAATTTTTATAATTTTTGTACAAAGTTTGAAATGTTAATTTATATAGTGTTTGTTGTATAACCAGCTAGACTTTTATAAAAAAAAATTAACCATTATATAAACAAAAGAAAAATAGTCAAAACATCGCACTCCTATTATTTCGTGGACAACTGTGTGTACATACATATATGTATATGTGTCATGTGACAATTTGTAGATATGAAATGGACGTTTCCACAGGACTTGGAAGTAGCTCACAAATTAAGATAAGCTTAAGTTGAAGACTCTTACCCTGTCATGTCGTGTTACTTTTTAATCATTGTTCTGTAATTATGTAAATAGAGTTAACACATCTATACCATATGGGATTGGCATGCTTGCAACATTAAAGATGCGTATTGAAATCCTTATAAAAATAAAACCAAAAGTTTTACATATTGCTTACATATACATACATACAGTCGTCGAAAAAATTATGTCCTCACCACACATTGATATACATATAGTTCATTCTTTAACAAAACCCGTGCAAACCCAAGTTTCAAACTTTTGCATTATTTAAACAAAAGTTCAACAAACCTTCGTTAAAATGTCTAGCTTTTTAATTACATGTGGAAGAAAATGCGCAACACCCTCCACAAAAAAAATTCTAAAAAATCAACGGTAATGTTTAGCGACTTGAAACTTGCACTTTATTATACTAAAAGTGAATGGGCTACAAAACTGCATACCCGAAAATTTTCTAAATAGTCTAATTTTGAAATTTTGATGACAATTTTTTGAAGTTTGATTAATTTTTTTGCAATTTGTGCAAGCTTTGCAACTTTTGTTATTGTGGTTTCTGATATAGATTGAATTATATTTTAAATGAAAATTATTAAAAATAAATAAATAAACATAATTTGCAAGCAATATCGTTTTGACTTTCGTTGCTAATTAGTTGCACGCATCTGTATTTGCCATTACCCATATTTGTATTTTACATTGCATTGAATTTTTTTTAATAATTTTTGGAATTAATAATATCTTTGAAATTACAAAGGCCTTCAAAATAAATCCTGCGGTCAGAGAGATAAAAACGCCACTTTAAATAAAAAAAGTAGATTTCAAACCTATTTATTTATTATTTATTTCATGGTAGGAGAGCTTCTCAAACAATATAGAAGCAATTTTTTCGATTCAAGTTGTTGAAAAGTAATGAATATCTAAATCCCGGGACTAATCCCGGGGTCGCGGGATTGTGACAACGCCGAAAAATTAACATCCCTAGTCTGGACACACATCATTGCAAGTGTCTGGACACACAACATTGCAAGTTGATAAAAGCGTTGCAATAACTAAAATTTAATAATAATAAAAAAATAATTGTTAAAACTTTTCAATATGTGGTGCGGCTATATTTTTTCGACTACTGTATTTTTTATTCATCGTTCATCATCGGTTTTGTTCACCGTATATTTCTCTCTTTGTGGGACAAACTCGACAACAACCACATAGAAAAAATAATCTCAACTAAAACGAAGAATCCGTGGTTGTTGTTGTGTTTCTCTCTCTGGGAGAGCAACAGAGACAAGTTCTGAACGCTTTTGAGTTGTGAACTCAACTTCAACTTTAGTTCAGACCTAAAACGATAAGGTAGTTATATTTTTCTGGTACGCTGATAAGTACTTTTATATTTGTTTCCATATTGAAGCATTATGCTCAACTACATAAATATTAATTTTTAATTATTTTTGTGAATGTAATGTCCATTTATCTGAATGCACATTTTTATTTACAGACTTATTCTGGTCTCTTCTGTGTTGTGGTAAACCCTTACAAAAAATTACCTATCTACACTGAGAAGATAATGGAACGGTACAAGGGTATCAAACGGCACGAAGTGCCTCCTCATGTATTCGCAATAACCGACACAGCTTATAGATCCATGTTGCAAGGTAAACCAGCATATTTATCTTTTAACTATATATAAGTTTCATTATCAAACTATAATGCCATTATTTGAGAGTTCTATTGAATTCGTAGACTTTTTTTAGTTTTTTTTTCAAAGTTCAGGACTTTATTTTGATTTATTTTTGTGTTTAGAATGTGAAATGTATGGCTGCATTTCTTTATTCATTCTGAACGTTTGGAATAAACTTTTTTGTTTACTTATTCTTTAGAACGTTCCTGATGATATGTAAACGTATATTTCAATGGCATTCTGTTTATTCTGGTTGTGAAATGGGTTTATCCGGAATGTATAAAGAAACGCAGCCTATGTATAACAAATACAATAACAGTGAAATATGAGATCATGAGAATCAGTCTATGTATGTACATTTAAAAAATAAAGATGCCACCTGAAATGTTTAACTAAGTATAAGGGTAGGTGTGCACCGTTCGGTTTTCTCATGATAAAATGAATAAATAATAAAAAAAGCTGGCAATAGATGGCTGCTGTAGGCGGCCGCTGTGGCTGAGTGAGGTGCTACATACTACTCCATAGGATCTTGGTTCGATCCCTTGTTCGAGCAACATCCAAATTGGGAAACACTGAAAAAGCTTCTCATAGAAACGGTTTGCCTGCGCAAGCGGCGTAAAATTGTATTTATGTTATAATAACGGGAATGGTTAAGTTATCTTTACAAATCATGAAATTTCCTTTAAAATGGCGCAAGTTCGTGTTTATTTTTCCATATTTTGCAGTAAATGCATAGTTTTGCATATAATGTAAAAAATACCTGTTTCTGCATATTTATTTCGCATATCTTAGTATATTTTACAATAAACGCATACAGCTTTGCATATAGTTTTGCATATTTCTGATTTTGCGGTGACCCTGGCTTACCATTTTTTCTTAAAAAACGAAAGCTACAGTTTTTTCCTTTTCACAACAAAAAAGCTACAATTAATGCCGTTGTAACCTTTTCAATATCTCAATTCTGTCGTCAATGGTGCATGGTGTCAAGTTAGCACTACATACTAAATTTTGTTCGAAAAAGGGTCAACTCAATTTTTCAAGAAAAACGAAAGCTACACATTTTTTCTTTTCACAACANTTCTATCGACTAGGTGTATGGTGTCAAGTTAGCACTACATACCATTTTTTCTTAAAAAACGAGAGCTACAAATTTTTTCTTTCCACAACAAATTTACAACAAAAAAGCTACAATTAATGCCGTAGTTAGCTTTTCCAATTTCGAAAAGTGTAGGGCTAACTTGACACACGTCCTTTTCAAGTGTATTTTTTCTTAGGCTTTGTACAAAAAATGACAAAAAAAGAAAAACTGTATAGGGTTGGTCGCATGAATGGCCGTCCCCGTCAACAGTTCCGAGTCTATTCGATATTTGGGTATAAGGCCTTATGTTGGACAGAAGGGGGAGTATAAGGGACACAAAATTTAGAAAATTAGCCTATGGTTACAGAAGATATGGAATAAATAATTGACGAAGATCTGCGTGCCAAATGAACTTTTCTTTCAAAGTTTACACTGCTGGCAAATGTAAATAGGGATTAAAATTTAAAAACTAATTAATACAACTAAAGTAAAATCTGTGGAAAATTAGCAATAAAATACTTTTTTCGCAAAATCTTCTAAGGAGCCTTTTATTTATCAAAAAAATCTGGATAACATTTATTCGTCGCCACGCTGTAGAAAACGTTTATATTTAAGTTATTTAGTAAGAATACAAAATAATTATTAATTACAGCCTTATTCTGTATCACGAACGATAGGCAACACGACGATTCGCCTGCGGACGACAACATCTCTGATTGTGATTTTATTACTCTATCGGTCGTCTTCGTCTTGCTTTTCATATATTACGTTGAAATGGTCCCGGTTGCGTTTAAACCGGCAAGAATGATGCCGCCGGAATAATTTTTGAAGCATTCATCTACAAACGAATCGTTCGTGTTGCTTATCGTTCGTGATACAGAATAAGGCCGTTAATATTTGTGGCACATTTCCAAGGAACAGTATTGGTTATAATTTTATATAGATAAGTTTCGGATTTTTATTTTCAAATTAGTTTTAATTACTTTTTTAATAAATAATATAGCCCATTATATAACAAAAACCTTGTTAATCCAAGTTTAAAACTTTGTACAAAAATTAAAAGAAAATCAGAGTTTCATCAAAATGAAACACTTTTTATTCAGAATAAAAAGTGTGGAATTTTTATGAAAACGTCCTGCCCAAAAGAGAAGGCACGAGTTGTCCCTTTTTATTATCTACTTTCTTTGATGAAACTTTGAAAATAAAAATAAAAATCCGACACTTATCCATAAGGTTACCCCTAATGAAAAAAAATATATTTATTCAACAATTTTTATTGAGCTCGAGGCCGTTTTTAATGAAAAACTTATTGTGGAAAAGCAACAATAATTTGAAAAAATGGTAGAAGTGATAGGTATTTCGGAAATCACAACATTTCCTCATCAGATTTCCTTCAGTAGGATTCGAACCAACGATCCCACTGACTCAGCCAGTTGCCTACGCATTGTGCTAAGTTAGCCTTGTAAATTATCGTTGCTTTTTTCCCACTTTTTCATTTGCTAAGCCAACACAATCAAGCGCAGCTTTTCCGCTACTTTACACTTGATCATGTGGTTGTTGGTTTTGTTGGTTTTTGCTAATAATTCTATTTTTAGAATGTTTAACTTTTAGGCTCGTCCTTAAGTTATTTGTTTTTGTTATTTTATGGCCTTATAACAATTATATTCAACAATTTTTATTGTTTTTAATGAAAAACTTATTGTGGAAAAGCAATAATAATTTAAAAAAATGGTAGAAGTGGTAGCTATTAACAATGGATACAAAAAAGATCTGGTGGACAAAATTAGAAAGGACTCGGAACGAAAAACAAACACCGTATCCGATGTAATATTCGAACCACTCAAGATTCTGTACGGAAAACATAAGACGACCCCTGGATAAACGCCAACGCGAAGATACAGACCCACGCCTCAGAAACCAAGAAAATGAAAATAACTTCTATCGTTGACGTTAAATAACGGAATAACGGAAAATAAACTAACGCAATCACGAAAACCAAAAAATTAAAAATAACGGATTTCTACCCGCCGGCGAATACAAGCAACCAAAAAGCACCTACCTGCGAGATAATGAAACAAAAGCTGACGCACTTAGATCGTCGCCTGTGTAAAAGATTGTCGTATGTTGATTTCGGCAGGTTGTGGGAAATCCCGATTGAAGTTTGGAATGCAATTTCTCAAAAACGCGAAGATAGATATTCTCCAAGGTCTCTGAAAATGTTACTAGCTCACAATATTCTAACATTGTTTAATTTTTAATGTTTAATATTAATTAAATTTGAGTCTATAAAGGATTTTTCGTTGTAAAATTTTGTCGTAAACGTCATTTGTCCATAATTTAGCAGCCACTTTGTATGAAATACGACAAAATGGGCCATATCGCGAATTTCACGTGAACAAATACTCCCAAAAGTTATAAAGTAAAACAAAAACAATTTTTCCCAATTTGTTTTTGTTTTGCATGTTAAATTATGGGAATAATTTATTCACACGAAATTGGCGATAGGGCTGAATATGATCAAAATTTCTACTTAATTAACGACACTTTTTACTCAAGGATATATCCAAAAATGGAGAACGTCATTTTTAAGATATTGATTAGTTTAATATGGCTGCATCACTAAGTAAATTTTTACTAAATTATCGAAAAAATTGTAGTCAACATCTCGGAAACTAAAGGAGATATCTGAAAACTGATAACACCAATCGAACGACCTTATTTCAGAATATATAACTGCATCTAGAACTAAAACTCGTCAAAATTGTGCTTACGACAATCTTTTACCCAGGCGACGAGATGGGTATGTATGACCTAATGACAGTTAAGACAGATAGTAACACGAATAATTAAAAGCACTAAATTTTTTATTCCTGAACTGTTTTTTTTTTATTGAAAACTGAATACATTTACCTTTTTAAAGTGCTCAAAAAGCCTGACATTGATTGAAAAACCATGGTACACGATAATACTAAAGCTGAGAAAAATATGAAATCATCATCTATATCAATATATCATTTAATATCTAATAATAATAATATTTAATATCATTTTAAATAAAGCATAATGTAGAATTTTTCTAATAAATACTTAAAAAAAAAGAAATGCAAAATAAAAGAAATTGGTGTAATTTCGACATTTTTGGTCGAAAAAGCTCAACCCGGAACCTCTAGGAATCACCTGAAGGCTTTTAAACTAATTACGTATTTATTTATATCCCCAACCTCACCTTATTCTGTGTGAAATCTTTTGGATTCATGCATTTCAAATTTTTCATACAACGAAAAGGCCACTCTAGTATGCACACATACTTCTCTATAAATGTAGATTAAATGTAGTCACTTTACCGCAATTGCGGTAGATCTACTACATTTTGGGTTATTTGTCACTTCTACCACAACCATCACATATAAAAAAAAAAAAAAACTACCACAATTTTACTGAAATAAAACTATTAAACTAGTTTGCCAAAATATGGCCTTCATAGAAGTTGAACAGCCACTTTTCTGCTGAATCTCATGAAAATTTATTGTGAATATCGTGTTTGTTGAAGAACTGAGGTGCATTTCAAAATTTCTATTACGTACATGAAGGATAAGCTGCATTTACATGAAGCAATTTTCTTAACGATTCAACATCGCCTGATAAATATTTTGTGAAGTTGGTTACCACCGGCAACCAACGTTGAACGAGAGCAGTGAAGTGTTCAATGTGTTTTAATTTTTATAAACCAGAAAATACTATTTATGAATCAATTTATTCGCACTTAAAAACGTATTGCACTTATTAACATCACACTCTGTTTTCAATTCTTTAAAACACCAACAGATAATCAGAGTTCCGTTGATAACAAACTTTTGCCACAGTTTAACTACTGCCAACATGGGCAAGCGATTTATTTGTGGCCTAGAAAGTTGAAACATGATTTACGCGGGCGAATTTGATGAACCGATGTTGAATCGCTTATTAAATCGCCTCATATAAATGCAGTGAAATACCTTTATATTTTGATTCTCTATTGTGAACTGGTGCAAGAAAACTGCCAAAACGTACACAAGTACTTTGAATGCAACTGAAAATAGAAAAAAATTTTAACACGAAAAAAGCTTGAAACTTTTGGCTCACGCAATGAGACAACGAGGACATTTGCAATCTTCGTCAAAACTCTTTAGCGAACGACGTCGTATATGGCGCAGAGGCATGGACAATGACAACGACATGGACATAGTGCAGCGAATTAAAATGCAGCGGCTCCGCTGGCTTAACCATGTCGTTCGAAAGGACAACGACGACCAAGCTCTGAAAGTATTCAACTCGGAATCCGCTGGTGGTAGAAGAGGAATAGAGAGGCCCACTACGATGGAAAGACCAAGTGGAGAAATAATAGACAAGAACAGCTTCTTCGTTTAAATTTACAACGAATAGCAAACAAATACCACCGTCATTCACAATAGTACCTCTATCGGGCGTGTGGAAACGATAATNCCCACTACGATGGAAAGACCAAGTGGAGAAATAATAGACAAGAACAGCTTTTTCGTTTAAATTTACAACGAATAGCAAACAAATACCACCGTCATTCACAATAGTACCTCTATCGGGCGTGTGGAAACGATACAACGAAATCTCATTTTATACGATACGCTTGCAAGCGAAGATTAGATCTAACGATGTAAATTTGCATAGCGGGTGAGTTCCAAGCTAGAGTGGCAAAATAAAAAAAAATTAAATATTTTCTTGTGTTCTATTTATTAAAATAATGTGATTACACACTTGCAAGTTTAAAAAAACAGAGCTCGTAAAGCCATCAAAGTAGTCTCTCGCTCTAAGGAGTTATATTTTTTAAGGGCTCTCCGAGCGATAGCGTTCATTCTATTCACCATAAACTCCTCACATGTTTGGCTCACTCATGAATTTGCATTCGGCGTATTTGTAAAATGGTTTATTTGTGTTGATGGCAATTTTTATTTTTAGTGAAAAATATTTATCACTCACATGTTTAAAACACAAAACACATTTTTACACAAAAAACCCGAAAAGCTTTTTTCGCCAAACTTTACAATTCAAAAACTGACAATGCAGAAAACACCGAATCTAAAAAATCGATGACAAACAACCAAGCAAGCAAGAAGCACAAATATTCCACCGTCTAATTCTCTCAAGGCAGGATGGGCAAATTGAGTTGTCATTTACGAATATCGCAGTCAGGTGTTTGTTCCACGTGAAGTGAACAGTCAGCAGTCCAACAAGTTGTATGCAATCCGGTCTATCAGTGAGAGCAAAAAATTAAGTGTACCTCCTTCTGAGATTGAAGGCAACATCAGTTTTGCCCCATGCATCCCCTCGATGCCTACGAGTCATTGCTGAGCGAAGTATTCACCCAGTTTCTGATTGTGGCTTCGATGGCCGAGGTGGGGAGTGCTATAGCTGGTTGCGGATTGAGGAATGCCTCGTCTAAGCCAACTATAGCCAAATGGTCAGATGTTTCATTACCATGTACTCCCGAATTACCTGTCACCCAGAGTAAAGCAAGCTCCTTATGTTTACCAACATAATTTAATAGCGACTTGCATTTCCGAACCCGTCTGAAAGTACTTAATTAGAGGGCTGGACAATGCCTGAAGTGCAGCTTTGCTGTCCCTGAAGACACGTAAATTCCTTGCCCTCCTTCACCTATTTTCCACCACGTAGTCCATGTCTTTGAGAATTGCATATACCTCAGCCTGGAAGACCGAAGCATATTCACCCAGAGAAAAGTAAAGCTTATCATCTATAACTTCGAAAAAGACCCCAGATCCTCACCCTGATTCAGTTTTGGGGCCTTCAGTAATGTGTGAGTCCTGACTCAGTGCTGGAATAAAACCAGCATTCAGCTTTAGGGAACTCAACATTATATAATCTCTTCAACAAAGATAGTGGTGGCGTACTGTCCTGTGCCATTGAATATACACAAATGCTTAGATCTCTGTCGAAAGCAACTTCCGCCTCGCCTCACTGAGAGATATATCAATATCCGTTTCTTTTTAGTCTGCAGGTGACGGTAAGTGCAGAAGTTCATCAAGAGCACTAGGCACCACTCAAAAAACTTTAAGTTAAATATAGAGGCTACCAACCACCCATAAGATTAATTTTCGTGGACCCTCACTTACACCCCCATATTTTTTTCACGCCAACGTAGACCCCCGTCGAGTCTTCCGTGGACCACTTTGAGAATCACTGGTTTAACGCAATCTGACAGATGAAGCAAACCATGAATATTAAAACTAATCAGTTTTTCTCTGTAGATTGCACCAAAATAAGACACAAATTCTTCTTACAGCTTTTGGGTGATATCTGCCTCTACTATACACGACTTTTCCGAAGCCAAAAGTCGTATGCCAGCGTGTAATAACAAAAAATTATAATATATGTCATCTTAAACGCAATCTTTCAAAATAAATACTCCAGAGTATAACAAAAACTGTCGGAACTCCGAACCGAATTCGGTTGGCACGTAGCCGGCAAGGGTATCAAATTTCTCGTTCTTTTTTTTAAGATTACCTTTCATAGGTTAGGTAGAAGTTTTTTTACCACGCCCAAATTAACCAAATGCATACAGTCTAAAGGGAATTGCGAGAGCATTCCAAAATTGGACTTCTCCAGAACGCTCTTTTTATCCTTGAGCTCACTACTATGGTGCGATTGATCAGATCGCAATTCGAAAGAAAGATCAGACCTCAAAGCACCAACTTCTTTTGAAAAAAAAATTCTGCTGGGCGTTTACTTGCCTTCCTGGCAGCATTTTGGGCCACCGCTTTCACAATTGAAATATTTAACACCAGTTACATAAGCCCGAGCTGGCGAATCGCAAGTGAAAAGTCTGACCTCAAATTTTTTTAGAATATGGTTCAAACCTACTTTGACACCGTTTTCTCTTAACTCCTGTACTTCTTTCCAAAAGTGGTCAATTTTTTCTGGGTTTTTAAAACCAGAGAAACAAGCAATAAGAAATGGAGTCTCACTGCTAAGTCCCACAATCCAGTCTAGAATTGGCCATAAAACCCTGTTAGGGCTATTGAATAATTTCAAACCATCGATACCAGTGTCTATGAGAACTTCAGTCCTTCCGCACAGAAAATCAAAAGATTTAGATAGAAAATAGTCCTGAATACCTATATACAAGAAATCACCATTAGGCACAGACTTAAGTGCAATACTTTCCTTATTTGTATTTAATAAAGTTTTAGCACAAAGAAGCAAGTCCCTAACTCCTATGAGACGTAATGTTTGCATTAAACCATATGAAG